GGAAAATTGTAAACAGAGATTGTAACCCTACAAATTCATCAATACATATCTACTTTGTACACGTGTTTTCGTCTCATTCGTTACAGAATTTTCATGTTTACAATATCTAAAGAACTTTTTTTCTATTTACATTTTAGGCAAGTATAACACACAAAAAATCCAAAGTTCTCGTTCCCAGAGGCAAAAAAAGAACCTAACCCATCTAACGTCCCATTTAGTGCCCAATAGTTTGGTTAAGAAGTCAAGGTCACTGCAAATCTATAAATTCTTACACAAACACTGTCTTTCGAGCCTTCAACAATAGCACGCATATTTTCACATTTTCTCTCAAGCCTCTCTTTGGCAATAAAACCAAAAGAAACACTTGGAGCAAATCACATGCTCACATAAGTCAAGATCTGTCTGATTTTTTATGCCAACAATTGCTTGCTCGCCAAATGAGTTTCACTAGTTTTAATTATTCATTATCCTCCTTTCTTTTTTTTTCTTTTGTCTTTTTTTTTTTTTTTTGAGTTCAAAGTACGATATTCATTTATAAAGGAATTTGAAATTTGTACAGTACATGGAGGATATGGTGTAAAAAAATGGGCCTCGATAAAAACTTTTCCGAGAATTTCAACTTGGTCAAAGGGAAAATAGCGTCCCGCACCTTAGTTACAAATATAAACTATTCTCCATAAGAGATCTATAATAATATAAGGGATTCTTCAAACCACACTCTTCGTTGCTCACTTGAAAGTCCCAAACGTGCCAATCGATGAGCCACTTTATTGCCTCTCTTTTGGTATGGAGAACTCTTGTTTGGGGGATTGAACGGAGAAAATGCCTTGTGTCATTAATTATATGCCCCATTGAGGATGTATCACTAGCCTTTTGTTACACACTTAATTGGCCTTGGCAAGGTTCTAAAAGACAATAGACGCTAGTCGGGCGGTGGGTTGGGACCTAGCGCCTAGGCGGCTAGGAGGGGTCTAGGCGGGCTCCTAGGTAGACTAGGCGAATTTAAGTAAATCCATTATATTTCGTGTAAATAAGTGTCTGTTTATACTTAAAATATATATAATCTCATCATAAACTACAAAATAGAATGACATATATGTTATGAAGTATTGGAACATAATGAAAACATAGGGAACAAGCACATAATGTGTGCTCATTTAAGTATTCAACAAATCTCTTAAAATTTATTGAAAAAAATAAAATGCAAAATGAAAGTTATCTATTTTCTGTCTAAGTGAGTCGCAACCTAGGCGCGTCTGGGCGGGCTAAGGGGTGCCTAGGCAGTCTAGGCGGGCACCTCAGCAGGTCTAGACGCCGTTTCTTAATTTTCAAATGCCTAGGCATTAATCGGGACGGTGGCCAGCTGCCCAGCGCTTAGGCGGCGCTAGGAGAGGATTTTTAGAACAGTGGTCCTTGGTATGCTAAATTAACGTTTTTTTATTGTTTTTTTTTTACAAAAAAAAGAATAAAAGAAAAAGGAAACTTAAGTTTTTTTTTTATTCAAAATTTATTCAAATTTAAATTAGAAGTCAACCATAAACCACCCACTAATGTGAAGGGTTTTTTGGTTATTTTTTTTTCTAAAGTTTTAAATTATAAATTCATTCAAAATTAAAATGTTTTAATTGTAATTTTGAAATTCTAGAGGAGCAATTTATGATATTTTGAGTGCTTCACTATTTTGGATACTCACTTTATCCATACACATGGATGAACATTGGAATCCAAAAAAATTATACTCAAGGATAGTAGTTCTACTTTATATATATTAGTGAGTAACCTAAGTATTATCCATAAAATATGAATAATAATTAGGTACTTACGAATAAGTACTATATGTAGTTACTTTCTGATTTGACCCAATAAAAAAAGGTCACGTATTTTTTTTATTTTTAAAACCAAAGGAAAGTTAATAATATGCCCATTATTGTATAAAACAATAAAAGATCTGTTAAAATATTATTTGACAAAATCATAAGGTAACTATTTATTAGTGAGTACTCATCAAGTATTACCTATAAAATACACGACTCATTAACTGGCATATCTCCTTAGTTGCCATTGTGGTAAGTCTACGATGACTATTAAAACAAAGGAAGATAATCCATATAGGAATTTTCAGTTTTTTCCATTTTAAGCTTCAATTTTTTTTTTTAAATGATAGATTTTGTTAGAATAGATGTTAGATTAGCAATTGATAGAGTTCAAATCCACGTCATTATGCAAGGACTCGAAACTTATTCACCATTGTGGTCAAGGGTCAGTTGCTCTAAGCTTCAAATTTCCATTTGCAGCAAAAAAAACTAAACCAACTGGGTATTAAGGAAACAAATTCCATAAATTAGAATCCTACGCAGTAGTTAAAAACAAAAACAAATGACTGAAGTAAAGATTAGATTATTAGAAAGACAATTAAAAATCCGGATAAAAGTTATTCTCCATTTGGGGAAATTTCCCCCTTGTGAATAATGTATATTTACCGTATAAATTTCATAATTGGAATTGTTCAATATCTTAACCTTCATTTGAGAATTATCCCTACAAAAAATCATTTGAATTGCATATCATTTAGTTATTCAAATGTATAAGACAAATCGACAATGTAGGTACCAAGTAACATATTCATATTCATGATGGACCCTACAAAACCCTCGGAGGGGAGGATTGAGAGATTGCAGAAATTGGCAATTTTGTAGCTGAGCAATTAATCCCAATAGTTGGGTAGTTTCAGTAAATAAAAATGATTGTGCCCCTCAGATATGCTCTTAAACCCTGCCTTATTAATCTTCCATATAATGGTTTCCTCCAATATTTCATCATTTGCTCATCAGATTGAAAGTTCCATAATATTAGAGTTGGAGACAACATAATCTATTTGTTCTTTTAAAAGAGAGAATAAATCACTTAGGGATGTTTAATTAAGTTTGATTGAATAACCACAGAAAGAAGAAAACTGAGATGCATTTGAATTCTAAAACCATGCAAATGATCTGAAAGTCGGGTTTTGATATGTCATACTGTAATTGTGCTCTAGCATAAGTGTTGAACATGGACTGCGGCCATGGCGCCTTGCAACCATAGTCAGTGGCGGAGTCAAGATTTCTTGTGAGAAGGGGCCTCAAACAAGTATAGAAGAAGACAAAACGAATAGTGGTTATAAAATTACTAATGCAAAACATCATAATATTTATCCAAATAATTAAGTAGTCAAAATTAACATATGCATAGATAATTTTATCTATCCATCGTAATCAAAATTATTCTTGATGAATTGCAATGAAACAGTTGCATAATGTCATCTATAGTATTTAAATAATTATTAAACTGAATAGAGAGAAGTACGAAAATCTTTGCAAACCCTAAAACTCAAGTAAGAGGTGGGATAGAATAGAAACAAATGTTTTATAGTGAATAATAGACTATTACAAACCTTTTTGTTCTTTATTCAATAAATTTGGGATTTAGAATGGCTAAATATATGAAATTCAATAAGAAAAGGTAAAAACTCTCCCCGTGCATAAGTGAAAGACGATTTTATTTTAATTAAAAGTGAATGATGGGTTTTAATTTAATGTTATTGATTTGTGAGAGGGTTGTGCTATCCACAGACCTCTTTTTGCTTTCCATACACCCTCTCAATTTGCGATCGTCTGATTGAATGAATTGAATATCGAATGACATAAATTAACAAGAGTGTGTTAAAGGTTAAAAAAATGTATGCATATAGCACTACTCTTTGTGATAAATGACCATATAAAATGTATACTTATTCTTGGGATGGTATCTATGAGATGAAAAATAGATAATGATTGAATTTGTTTTAGTTGTTGAGAAGGGCTGCAAAGCAATAGAAATAGGTGTAGTAGACTAATCTTATTTTTTAAGTGAGAGTAGGCCTAGGACTACTGTAGTCCTTAACTGCCTCCGCCACCGACCATAGTCTAAACATCTTGGGGAATAGTTGGTGATTCGAATTATTGCGTTTCTTATAACATATGTAGTTGAATAAATTATTCTGTGAAGAATCATTCGTATGAGTGATCTTGAATTGAAGATTAAACAATTGAATGGTTTCCATCGTTGAATTTATACGGTCATGATACGTTATTAGCAAACAGGAGAATATGTGCATCACCTAGAATGCAAGTATAATGATGACCAGGGACAAAACCCTAGAAAACCCTCGGAGGGAGGATTGGGAGATTGGGAAAACAAGGATTGGGAGATTGGGGAAAACAAACAGATGAAATTTTGGTAACAATGAAGAAGGTATGTAGCTTAGCCATTAATCCCAATAGTTGGGTAGTTTCAGTAAATAAATAAATGGTTGTGCCCCCTCCCAAACCCTCCCTTACTTATCTTCCATATAATAGTTTCCTCCGATATTTTATCATTTGCTCATCACATTGAAAGTTCCATAATATTAGCGTTGGAGACAATGTCATAATCTATTTGTCAATTGAGATGGTTAATTAAGTTTGATTGGATAACCACAGAAACAAGAAAACTGAGATATTTGAATTCTAAAATCATGCAAATGATGAAAGTCGGGTTTTGATATGTCATACTATAATTGTGCTCTAGCATAAGTGTTGAACATGGACTGCTGCCATGACACCTTGCAACTATAGTCTAAACATCTCGGGAGAATAGTTGGTGATTCGAATTACTGCAATTCTTATAACATCTATAGTTGAATAAATTATTTTAAGAAGAATCATTTTAGTCGTATATAAACGACTTTATGTTTATTTGAAGAGTTTTTTTTTTTATCAAACGTCTAAGGTACAGCAAAATGGTCAGATATGTTACGAAGGTACCCTAAACCCTAATATACACATGCAGATGAAATACTAACTTTTCACTCAGGCATTCCCTCAAGGTGAAGCCTTGCAATAAACTCATGATTCTAATGCTTGTTTTGGTTATTAACATAAAAGATTCTTAAGATCCTAATCTCTCTAGATCTTTCTATATTACAATATATAAGAAAAAGTTGATAAATAAGAGGCCAAATTTCATGGATCATTGATACAAAAAGTAGCTAGTAATTATAATTACAAGGGTTTAACTCACACTGGAAAAATCTCTCATGGTGGAAAAATTTACACTGATATTAAATGTAACTCGTTCTAAAAGTTGTGGAGTTTTATCAAAAGACCTTGATGGAATTAGCAGTAGAACCACTCAATATAAGTGCTATCCAATTTGTTCAGGTTTCAAGGTGGGACTTTAACATTCTTCAACATACCACATACCACAGATATACCCAATCTCTATATACTTTGTTTTACCGTATATATGCCGCAAGTTAACATGAAAAACTCAGGCTTTCCCATGATCAATTCTTGAGTATGTAACAGCAACACATGCATCAACAAAATCCTCATCTATAAAATCAGTAGAGAAGATTTGCAACCTATCTGCAATACCTCTAGAGAAGCACTCCGTTATAAACAACCGTGCAAACTCATGAATCCGCCTGGTCACAGGCCTAACACATACCACAAGGTTATCAGCCTGAGGTGTCACTGTGTTCTCCACCCTGTAAAAAAATTTCCTTGATGAAATTGGAGGTTGTTCACTCAAACACTTCAAATTGTTCTCAAATTTTGTTGATGGCAAATCCGTATCAATCCAATCATCCTTCAGGTAGATAGAATTCCACAGAGGCCCCCCTGCCTTAGGGGGAGGTGAATTCCTTGGCTTCCACACACATATTATTCGCTTCGGTAACAGCTCTGAAATAGTCTTGTTGAACACATTGTCGTTCTGGTTGATTAGAACCTCTCCGAGCTGTTCTACCAAATACTTATCGAAATCAGGAGGGTCCTGGTGCCCATATTCCGTCCTGATTTCGAGAAGTATGATCTCAGACTCTGTTTCTGACAGAAATTTTTTAATGTCCTTTATCACGACATCAATGTGGTATGTGACGAGAATTCCGTGGCACACATGACAATCTTTCTGAACCCGAATGTCAAGGACTCTAGTGCCTGTGACAAGCTGTTTGTATATAGACATTGTTTGGCATTGTCCAAAAGGCCTAGTGATGCATGGAATTCCAATCTTGTTGGTTGCAGAGTCGTGAGTTCCTGGCCATACAATTTTGTTTACGTGAACTTTTTCCGGGTTGATCCCCGCTATCCAATTTTTCCTGTCTGGAGGCCTGTAGGCACATGCTGGGAAGTCCTCACCAACGCTTTGGTGGAGATCACGTAGCACTTTCCGCTCCGTTGAGATCGCCTTCCGGCGTTCGAGCTGTTTAGGGAAGCAGGAACCCATTGTTAATAAGAATTAAAGAAGAAGAAGAAGAAGAAGAAGAGTTAGGTTTATCTCTTCCTCTTCTTCTTGTTCTGAGGATGAAAATGGATTAAGCTGAGCAGAGAAATATTATGATTATGGGATATAAAAGGAAGCATTGTAACGTTTAGAGAGAATAGATTTTTTTTAGGGTGAGAGTATATAAATTTATTGATTTGTTGTAAAAACTGATTATGTTTCTGTTCTGCAGAAATCTTGTTATATGTTTTTATCTTCAAATGTGTTGTTGCTTTTTTATTGGTCTTGGTAAGTCTTCCATTTGATTGAGTTATTGGTGGAGAGTTATAATCGATGCTTCTCTTGTGTTGACCCGCTTGTATTCGTTTGTGTTTTTTTTCCTTTGATTGGTCCACTTGTTTGGCTCTCCACAGTTATATGAGTTGGTTTTTCATCTAATTTCCTTAATATTTCCAAAGTTAGAAAGCGAACTTGTGCACTGATGCCCTTAATTACCGCATCATTCCTGCAACACCTATTACAAGAGTACGATACCTTATTGTATCCGGTCTTATTCAATCTCTTGCGATCCCTATTTAATGTAAGAGTTAATCTAATTAGACAACTCTAATCAATATTTTTGGAGAACAATTCAGAAATAAATAAAAATAACAAAATTTGAAATTCTAATACTTTATTAACTAAAAATATTTGCCATACAGAATGAAATTACAAAAACAAATACAAGAATTAAAATGGTACTAACTTGATTACAACAGGTAGAGGCTAGCGCAAAAGCTATGTCCTTCAAACAGTATTTCTGTCACACTCTTGTGTTTGTGGTTCTACAATGTCTGCTCGATCAGGATACAACTACCTAATTCTACAACCCGCACTGGATTATAGAATTCTAATGAATTGCTTTGTGTGTTTACTCTCTTTAATGTTTGTACGGATGAGAAGGAAGAAGAAAAGATGATTTTCGATGGAACTGATGACTCTAGTTATATAGGCTATTTCATACCTCTTCAAATACCTTTTGGATGTATCTGAAGCTATACAACTCTTTCCAAAGAGTTGTGTCTATTAATCAAAATGTTTTTAATTAATTGTAATTAAAAACTTAATTTGAAATTATAACTAATTGATCAGATTAATTTTAATTCTTAGGCCCCAAGTGCCTTGATTAATTAATATTAATATTATGGTATAATTATCAAGCTTAATCCACACAATTAGTGGCTCAAATCTCAAATCTCATTCCAAATGGTCCAACATCTAATCACTAATAAAAGAGACTAAAGTAATATAAGGACTTCAAATTCCCTTGAGTTCCTCGATGTCAGACTTAAAGGAGCTCAAAACTCACAAATATTTGCTCACATTATTAAAAAGAAATTTGCGTAGGAATGCCCTCACCTCTCACAAATACATCATTGTGTTTGGTGTCATCCAATTCCATGCGAATGCGATCCCCACACAGTAAAAGAGCTCTCCTAAGATAGTCATGATGACGAATATCTTCTTCCATTGTTATGACTAATGGTTTATCCATGACACCCATTGTTCCATTTGGCCTGCTTCAACCATGACAAAGTCGACATGGTGTTTGCCTGCTCATTTCATACGGAATTCGGCCATTTGTTCATTGCCTTCCATTTTCTCAAAAAGTAAAAATAAGATATTTTCATAACGATAATACATTCATATTTCATAATAAAGTCACGCTAATAACATAAGATAGCCACAATTTAATATTAAATTTATTACAAATACATATCGTCCAACCAAGTAGAGATAATTACCACTACAATAAAAGATAGTTGTATTTGGATACTAATAAAAAGATTTGGATCTAAAATAGTTGCTCTGAGGTCGGTTTGATCAGGACAGTGGACCACAAAGACTCAGGTGTGGGTAGCGTAGGTCTGGATTATAATATAATTGAATCAGGGAGAGAAATTATTTTCTAAGTTCGATTACAGATGTGAAAGAAGGCCGACTTAAACAAACAGCTGAAAAGAAAAGGAAAGGACATTTGGAAACAGTAAATTCCCGGATTACGAAGCTCAATTCCTGGTCTTTTGGCTGGGTGGCTCCAACTTTCTAAATATAATTAGGCTTGTTTTTATCTACGTCTTATGACCTTTATTTTGATGTCATTTTATTTCATATAACTCAAAAGTCAACATTTTATTTTTTAAAATTCAAAATTTGTTTCATTTTAATTTGTGAACTTACTTCTTCCTAAAACTTAAAGATCGTCTCTAGAAATATATGTGAGATCCTACACCCAATAAAACTATGCCACATGTGCAATAAATTTGGTTATAAAACTTCATTATGTGTTAACATTTAACAATCAGATATATTAAGTTTAAAAGAATTTAAGAGATAAAAAAAATTGAAAATAAATTGATTAGTCTGGTGCATCCAAATCAAATCTACATAAGAAATTAACATATTTAAGGCAATATATAGCAAATTTTAAGTTTTATAAATATGACTTTCAAGTTTCAGAGGGCAAAGTAGGGTTAAAATCGAGTTCTGGATGGCAAAGTTGATCCAATTATGATGATTTTTAAGTTATAAAGAGCAAAGTAGAGATCAAAATCGAGTTCCCGGTAAATGTCGCTAAAAGTAAATCATATAATTATTGCATTAAACTTTCAAGGACAGGAAGATTTACTTATCTAATGTTTTTTATCAGACTCATTCATGTTTACCTACTTCATGACAAAAAAATAATCTACAAGGAAAAAATATTATAGTCGCACTTTGATTGTAACAAGAAGTAACATCCTCATTTTTAATACGATTCATGAGCCATTCTGAACCAGTCTAACTAATTGAGCAAACTTTTTCATTAACAGCAAACTGATCAAGAAAATGAGTCATTTCATTGCACTCGCGAGGCCTGGACAACATTATAAATATTTGTAAAACTTAACAAACCCTTAATTTCATCACGAAGGTTTCACTCCAAAATAATTAGCAACGCGATCAGAAAATTGCCGAATTCTTGACAACTCGTTTTCCGATGTGGGGTAATTTTTTGCGTACTCAAATATGTTACCTACTTATATATTTCAATTTCAATTTCAATTTATATGATCACTTACAAACTACAACCACCCTAGCTTCAGAACCAAGTTTGTCTATAATTTGTAACAATTAATTATTTCTTCCAAGAAATCAAATTCGGCTAATGAAACAATTAAAGAAACATCATATAGAATGATCCAAAAACCAAGATGATCATATTGTATATGAAAGGAATAATTAAAGGGAAACGTTTTATTGACAGACTGTTTGACAACATATGATACTTATATTTTAAATCACTAACCATGTTCATTTTTTCTTGAATGTGTGATCTAAATTCACAATCAGACAACATAAAATATGCATCTCTTTCTTCTGTAAAGTGTGTATCATGATTAATATGAAAGTCAAAAGCAGTGCAGAAATTTGTAGTAGAAGATATAGTTTCACCATGTACAACTCCAATATACACATACAAAACGTAGAACTTAGAGCATAAGAAAACAGTACTATTACATACACATACTAAAAGAGCCAGCTATCACGAAAAACTGACTGGTAATTCAGCAAAACAAGTAAGACCACAATGAAAGCAGCAACACCCCAAGGTGAGCTTCCTTCTGAAGGTAGATGGTGAGTCCTCCGGCGTTGTTCCCACAGCGACATGGAGAAGAGCCAATCAGGATCCATATATGAGAGCACCTTCACAATGAGGATGAGAACTACTGGTGTGAGCAAAAACACCCAATTGAATTGCACTCCAACTTCTTCCACAGCTGACTCAATGGAGGAGTACCATGAGATGCCTAAGAAGATGGAGAGTACTGCTAAGATTAGGAGAACTGGGTAGGGCAGAGGACTTAGAGAAAACCCTTCTAAGAAGGAGCTGGTTGGGCTTTTTCCGTAATAAGACATGGGATTTGAAGACAAGGTTTTTTAGGTGTTGAAAGATAGGCACAAATTCGAAAGGTGGTTATGAATTGAAGTCTTTGTGGTTTTATAGACAAACTAGCCTTCATGCACGCGCTCACGAGCGTGCAAAAGACATTTTTTGAATAACGGCGTGCTACGCGCGACTTACACGTTTTAAATATATTTATATGCGTAAATTGACAAAAGGAAAGTCAAATATTTGAAGTAAGTGAATAATCTTAGATCATGCTAGAACAAACCCCTCGTCAACCAATTAAAACAAATTTATCCACATAATAAAATTGGTCTTTATAGAATTTACATTAAGAATAGAGAAAATTTAATATAATAAACAACTAATTGAATCACATTATTGCTAGCCCATTGTGAAGCTAATCTCATCCCCTCCCCCTTAGCGTAGATAATATCGTTTGTTAAAAAAAGAAAACAATCATTTGACAACTAATTTAATTACATTATTATCCGCGTGCGAAAGATCTTTTTTATAACCGGCATTACATGCCTCTTAAGATGTTTTGAACGTGTTTAAAAATAGAAAAAATAATATTTAATAAACAATTGATTGAATTATATTATTGCTAGCTCATTGTGAGGTTAAACCCACCCCCTCTCTCTTAGTGTAGATAATATCATTTGTTAAAAAACAAACAATCATTTGACAACTAATTTAATCATATTATTATTCGCATGCGAAAGACCTTTTTTATAACCAGCATTAAACGCATCTTAAGATGTTTTGAACATGTTTTAAAATAGAGAAATTGAATCACATTATTGCTAGCCTATTATGAGGTACTAATTGAAAAAACAGCACAAAAAAAAATCTAATTAAAATGACGAAAGCATTTTTTGAATTATGACGTGCTACGAGCGACTTACATGTTTTAAATGTATTTATATACGTATATTGATAAAAGGAAAGTCAAATATTTGAAGTAAAGGAATAATCTCAGATCATGCTGGAAGAAACCCCTCATAAATCAATTAAAGCAATTGACTTCACATAATAAAATCGATCTCTATAGAATTTACATTAAGAATAGAAAAAATAATATTTAATAAACAATTGATTGAATTACATTATTGCTAACCCATTGTGAGGCTAAGCCCACCCCCTCCCTCTTAGTGTAGATAATATCGTTTATTAAAAAAAAAAAACAATTATTTGACAACTAATTTAATCACATTATTATCCGCGTACGAAAAACTTTTTTTTATAACCGGTATTACACATCTCTTAAGATGTTTTGAACTTGTTTAAAAATAAAGAAAATAATATTTAATAAACAACTGATTGAATCACATTATTAATAGCCCATTGTGAGGCTAAGCCCACCATCTCCTCCTTAGTGTAGATAATATTGTTTGTTAAAAGAAAAACAATCATTTGATGACTAATTTTGTTGCAAGCCGTCTCTAATTTTAAGTTTTATAAAATTTAAATTAGTGATTTTATGAAAATGCCCCCTTGAGGCAAAGATTTTGACCTTTGTTGACCATCGGTTAGAAAGACATGGAACTTATTTTTTTTAGCATATCCTTGTAGTACTCGTCACTACGAACGTATAGGCGAAAACCGTTTGTGAGTCCAGATTATAACAGTATATTTACAGACGTTTGAAATTGGTTATTTAAAGTTTAGTTATAAATTAATTCAAACTCCCACCATGTGGGAGTGGTAACCGATCAGTTTTAAGGGAAGAAATGAGTGACTAATCAGAAAATTTAGAAAAGAAGTCAACCAATTAGGAGAGGGGAGAGAAGCCTCAGCTCTTCCTTCCTGTGAACGTGCACACCAAACCCGACAAGGATCCGAGTTGTTCCGGCCAAATTCCACCATTTTTCAGGCGATTTGCATCCATTCTCCACTTGTAACTTCTTCCTCAACCTCTCTTCTTCCATCTCCACCAAAGATTAAGGGTTTTTAAGGCCTAAACCGTGAGGAACTCCACCGGAGCACCGAAGGTGCCCGACGGTGATTCCTCCAATCCGGTGAGTTCCATCACCTAAAACTACCCTTAATCAACTTCCCTTGGACCCAGGAACAAGACCCAACCAGTGGTAGAGACGTTGGAACATTGAGGAAGGAGAATCGAAGTTCACCAATTTTAGGGTTCCGGCGGGTTTGAGTGAAATTGGAGCCTTTCTCAGCCAAATTGGACTTGGCCACAGGTATAAAACTTGCTCTACTCTTGGAGATCTTCATTTCTATAGAATTTGAGAAATTTTGGAGATAGCTAAATTTTCCGGCGAATTGAGGCGGTTGACCGCCGTGTGCGGCGGCGCGTGACGGCGGTGCATGAGCCGAGTCACCCCCTGAACTTCCTAAGCTAAGTTTGACACCCCAATTCCATAGGTGAAGTCCGATTGATGAAATCTCATCGTTTGAACATAGTTTTGTTAAAAACCGCTACTTGAACATTATGTGAATTAACGATCCGATCTTTGGATCATCACCAAAATTTAATATATTATGGTATGTAATATTTGAGGATATTAGAAACTTACGGATTGGGAATCTGAAGTACGGATCTTCCCAAATTGGATTTGTAAGTTTGTAAAATAAAACGTTGACTACTACTTGAATAAGCAATTGGCGCAGATCCAACCGTTGGATCGTAATAAAACTTTACTATGATATTCTAGAAGTATAATTTTGATCTTTAGAAGCTACGGATCAGAAATCCGAGATGCGGATCTTTCGGATTGAGTTATGTAGGGTTGTGGACCCTACCGTTGATCTTTGACCGACGGTTGACTTTTGGTCAATGGGTCTCAAATCATTCTAGAACGTCATTGGGATGTGTTTTATGTAAGTTATATGTTTTATTGATAAGAGTTCTGAGACGTGATTGAATATTTGTTCTAGGTGATGATCGTTCGTGACGTCTCGATATTCGTACTAGGGAGTCGTAGCGCAGGCCTCAGGGGAGTGGATCCTGTAGGCCTTATATGTATATTCTCATCTCTACCTAGCACGAGGCCTTTTGGGAACTCACTGGCTTCGGATTCCATCGGAACTTCGAAGTTAAGCGAGTTCGCTCGAGAGCAATCTCAGGATGAGTGACCCACTAGGAAGTTCTCGTGTGAGTTCCCAGAAACAAAACCGTGAGGGCGTGGTCGGGGCCTAAAGCGGATAATATCGTGCTACGGTGGAGTCAAACCCGGGATGGGGTGTGGGCTCGGGTCGGGATGTGACAAATTTAATCACATTATTATCCGCATGCAAAATATTTTTTTTATAACCGGCATTACACGACTCTTAAGATGTTTTGAACATGTTTAAAATAGAGAAAATAATGCTGAATAAACAACTGATTGAATCACATTATTGCTAGCCCATTGTGAAGCTAAGCCCACCCCTCCCCTTTAATGTAGATAATATCGTTTGTTAAAAAAAACAATTATTTGACAACTAATTTAATGTAATTTAATAGTATTATTCTCCGCATGCATAAGACTTTTTTTATAACCGGCATTATACGTCTCTTAAGATGTTTTGAACGTATTTAAACATAGAGAAAATAATATTTAATAAACAACTAATTGAATCACATTATTGCTAGCCTGATGTGAGGCTAAGTCCACCCACCTCCTCCTTAGTGTAGATAATATCGTTTGCAAAAAAAAAAACAAACAATCATTTGATAACTAATTTAATCACATTATTATCTGCGTGCGAAAAACTTTTTTTCTAACTAGCATTACATGACTCTTAAGATGCTTTGAACGTGTTTAAAATAGAGAAAATTATACTTAATAAACAATTGATTGAATCACATTATTGCTAGCCCATTGTGAGGCTAAGACCACCCCCACCCCTACCCCCTTAATGTAGATAATATCGTTTGTTAAAAAATACAATTATTTGACAACTAATTTAATTACATTATTATCTGCGTGAAAAAGACCTAACAAAAAAAAAACAATCATTTGACAACTAATTTAATGTAATTTAATCACATTTATTATCTCAGTGCAAAATATTTTTTTTATAACCGGCATTACACGACTCTTAAGATGTTTTGAACGTGTTTAAAAATAAAGAAAATAATATTTAATAAATAACTTATTGAATCATATTATTGCTAGCCCATTGTGCGGCTAAGCCCACCCACCTCCTCCTTAGTATAGATACTATTGTTTGTTAAAAAAAAATCATTTGACAACTAATTTAATCACATTATTATCCGCATGCGAAATACTTTTTTTATAACCTGCATTACACGCCTCTTAAGATATTTTGAACGTGTTTAAAATAGATAAAATAATATTTAATAAACAATTGAATGAATCACATTATTGCTAGCCCATTGTGAGGCTAAACCCACCGCCCTCCCCTTTAGTGTAGATAATATCGTTTGTTAAAAAAAAAAAATCATTTGACAACTAATTTAATCACATTATTATCCGCGTGCGAATGACCTTTTTTATAACCAGCATTACACGCCTCTAAAGATGTTTTGAACATGTTCAAAAATAGAGAAATTGAATCACATTATTGCTAGCCTATTGTAAGGTACTAATAAAAAAAAAACCACAAAAAATTAATGATTAAAAAAATACTGTTTAAATGACGAAAATTCCCCTATCTTATTTGATGTATTATTTTAAGATACCTTTGAATTTTTTTGTCTTGGGTACATTTTTGTCCAAATATTTTTGTTGAAGTTTGGTGACACCAAAATCACTATTCACTTTTCCATTGGCTTTATATATACTAGCATATTATGAGCTACTAATTTAAAAAAAAAAAAACCACAAAAAAATTAATTATTAAAAAATGACTGTTAACATGACGAAAATGCCCTTGCCTTATTTAAAGCATTATTTTGGAATGCCTATGAAGTTTTTTTTTTTGTCTTGGGGACATTTTTGTCCAAATTTTTTGTTGAACCTTGGTGACACCAAAATCACTATTTCCTTCTCCATTAGCTTTATGTATAAGATATCGTTTGTTAAAAAAAAAAATCATTCGACAACTAATTTAATCACATTATTATCTGTGTGCGAACGACTTTTATTTTATTTTTA